CTGACTGGAATCAAACCAGCAACCTTCCAGTGCACAGGACAATGCCGAGCAACTGAGCCACACTGGCCAGGGCTGACTACTTTATACTTTTAATGAGAAAGCACTGAATATTTCTGAGCAAAATACTACAGTAATTTGCTTCTGAAAAATAAAGCTGGTTGCAATGTGGAGGCTGTCTGGAACTGGGGGACTAAATTCAGATTGGGAGATTAAGTAAGAGACTACTGAGAAAATCCATGACAGATAATAAGCATCTTCAGTAAATATTTTGTTTATATCTACCCAGAATTTATGCCCCTTCTTTTGGTAACAGGACCCCAATTTTCCACAGAGAAATCATACCTCTGCCACTTACTCTGGTCTATGAAGTTCTAAGGAAGTATCACCCTACCCAGGACCCAGGATTGGGTACATAATTTAGTCCTGACTCAGCAGCATATTCCATACCCTGAAACAGGAATATAACTCACGTCAGTCTAAAAAGAGTCAGCCCAGAATTTCTGCTCTTACTATACATATCGAGACTGTATCCTTTTTTATGTATTTTTTTAGTTGGGACTGCTAAACTTCAATTTATTAAGGGTTGCCCTGTAGAAAAGTCAGCCTGGGAATGAGGCCAACATACCAGAATAAAGAGCACATAGATAGGGAGAAATTTTTGTTTAAGCACACACCTACATTTTGCCATTCTTGAAACAATACTACTCTCTGGATTTTTCATTACTATTAGCCTATATATTTAGAAATGGAGAGAAAAATAAAGCTTCAAGATAAAAATCAGGAACAGAATTCAGAGAACCTGGTGACTGCCTGGATATGGAAAATGAAGAGGGAAGAATCAAATTTCACTCTGAGGCTTCTGGCTTGGTTGATTGACTGGAAAGTTCTATTAACTGAGATAGAGAACAGAAGAAGAAAAGGTTTTGGTCAATATAATGAGCTCAGTTTAGAGACACCAAAAAGTATCTTAATACTTGAATTATGACTCTATCTAGATCACTGCACCAGGAAAACTGTACATGTAGCTGGGTTCCAAACTCAGAAATAGACTGTACAGCCCAAGGCAGTCTAGGGTAACAGAGCAATGCTAGAAGAACCATTCCTTTAACTGTTTAGTATTTCACCAGAAAAGCTCCAAAAAAACAAACAAAACAAAACTGGCATTTAGGAAACCCTAGGGCAAGTGAAGTATCATCCCTAAGCATTTTGCTAGAGTGATTAGCTAGGTGGAAAACAATAGGGGACATAATTATATTCCAAGGATGAAGTTAAGAGCTAAGCCAACACTCCAGTCCTCAGTGTGCCCAACTCAGATAGAGAAGCCATGGAAGGAGGAAGAGCAGGCTATATCACTGCAAACAACAACCAAAAGAACACACACCAACCTTATTTCAAGAAAAGTAGGGAGGGAACAGAAGTAGTCATTTTCTTGCACTTAGTAATACCAGGCACTCTGTGAGGAACTTTATGCATGGTATCTTATCGAATCCTCACAACTTACCAGTCAGGAAGGCATCATTCTTCCTACTCAGACAGGATGAGCCAGGTTAAGCAGTAGAACAACTATTCAAATGCATGTCTACCTGGCTATAAAGCTTAAGCACATTTCCCTACATCAAGTACTTTCAAAAAATATATTGAAAAGCTGTATCTTTCCTGTATTTAAAAAAAAAAAAAAAAATGATGCCATCTCATCAGGAAGAATGTTTGTGAATTAGGTGTTTTATTGACCATAGACAGGTTATGTTTACAGTAACCCAGACACAATGTCTCAAGTACCAGTTGTCTATCTGGAGCTAAGGAGGCCATCAGTGCCATGAAGCCTCACTAAACAACATTCTGAGTTAACCAACCACCAACAGAGTAGGCCATAACAACAATATGAGTGACTTTAAGGGAAATAATCTCACTGCTAAAATTAAGTTTTGACTAGAGTTCCTTGATTCAGTCACATATGGATGAACAAACAAAACAGAAACAGATTCACAGATATAGAGAATTGAGGGTTGTCAGATGGGAAACAGTTTGGGGGACTGTGTTAAAAAGGTGATGAGATTAAGAAATGAAAATTGGTAGTTATAAAACAGTCTTAAGGATTTAAGTACAGCCCTGGCCAGTTTGGCTCGGCGGTTAGAGCGTCGGCCTGCGGTCCGGAGAGACTCGGGTTCGGTTCCCGCTAAGGGCACGTACCTTGGTTGCAGTTTGTCCCCAGCCCTGGTTGGGTCGTGCGGGTGGCAACAACTCGATGTGTCCCTTTCACGTCGATGTTTCTCTCTCTCTCTCTCTCCCTCTCACTCTATCTGAACAAAATATCGAAAAAAATGTCCTCGAGTGAGGATAAAAAAAAAAAGATTTAAGTACAGCATAGGGAATACAGTCAATAATATTGTAATAACTATGTATGATGGCTGGTAGGTACTAGAATATCAGGGGGTTCACTTCATAAATTATATGTTGTCTGATCACTATGCTATACACCTGAAACTAATATAAAATAATATTGAATGTCAACCGTAATTCAAAAATAGTCAAATATGGAAAAAAATAACAGACAGAAAAAGATACTTGCAAAGGAGCTCTCCTATTGGCCTGAATGACAGGCACTATCTTATACATTTCTTTCCCACTATACAGTAGCAAAGTGAGAGGCAGCATAGCATAGGTATTAAAAGTGCAGACTCAGGGGACAGATTGCCTGGGTTTGAATCCCAGTTCTATCAGGGATTCACTGTATGACCTTCGCAAGTTATTTATCATATGTCTCAGTTTTCTCATCTGTTAAATGGTGATAACAGAGTATCTATTTCATCCATTTGTTATGAAAATTAAATAAGTTTACTTGTAAAACTCTTAAGCAGCCCTACCATGTGATAAATATGTATCTGTTAAATATATTAAGAAAATAACTAACCCAATTAGATGCCCAGCTATGGGGAGAAAATCTGAACCTGAATTTCCAACTAAGGTTCTCCCACATAAACTGGTAGAAGAAAATAAAACTAAGTCTAAGACTTGTTTAGAATTTATATGGGACCTCTTACACGAAACATTTCACAGACATCTGGAGGAAGAATAGAGAGCCAAATATACACAGGCAGAAACTGAAACATGGAAAAGGGAAGTAAGACGTTCGGTTTCACTAACACATCATTCACAGATCTCAGGCAAGAACCCCAATGTCCTGTCAGTCCAGGTTTTGTACAGCAGGTGACAGGCTAACTGTGCACATAAAAGAGGAGTCAGCCTTTAAAACAGCCAGGTCTTCACCCACGCACATCTCATTAATTTTTCCTTATTGACATTTCCTCAGAGGTAGATATTCTACCTCCAGTCTTTGGACCTCAGCTCCCTGAGACCGTAAGTGTATGTGAATGTTTATAAGTCAAACAAGATTCCCTTAAGCCATAGACTTGCTCTATCCTGCCACCATTGTTGATTTTTTTTTTTTTTCCTTTATTGATTTTAGGGAGAGAGGAAGGGAGAGGGAGAGAGAGAGAAGGAAACATGGATGAGAGAACATGGACTGGCTGCCTCCTGCATGCCCCCACTGGGGATTTGGCCCACAACCTGGGCTTGTGCCCTGACCGGGAATCGAACTGGCCACCTCTTGGTGCATGGGTCAACACTCAACCACTGAGCCATACCAGCCCATTGCTGATTCTTAACAGGTTAAGATCAGAATTATTAATGAAGCAACCCTAAATATGGGAAGCACCTCTATTTTTTTTTTTTTTTAATCCCCACCCGAGGACATTTTTCCACTTTTTTGTTCAGATAGAGTGGGAGGGAGAGAGAAGAAGAGAGAGAAAGAGAGAGAGAAACATCGACGTGAAAGGGACACATCGAGTGGCTGCCACCTGTACAACCGACCAGGGCCGGGGACAAACTGCAACCGAGGTACGTGCCCTTAGCAGGAACCAAACCCGGGTCTCTCTGGACCACAGGCCGACGCTCTAACTGCTGAGCCAAATCGGCCAGGGCGGAAGCACCTCCATTTAAGTCACCATTTCAAGTAGTTTATGTCCTGGCCAGTGTGGCTCAGTTAGTTGGAGCTTCCTCGTGCACTGAAAGGTAGCAGGTTTGATTCCTGGTCAGGGCACATGCCTGGGTTGCAGGCTCCATCCCCAGTTGGGGAGGATTCGGGAGGCAACCAATCAATGTCTTTCTCACATCAATGCCTCTCTCTTTCTCTCAAATCATTAAACATGTCTTTGGGCAAGGATTAAATAAATAAGTAAAGTGGTTTTTAAAATCTTAAACCCTCTAATTTCTAGAAGGTATGAACTCGAGGACAATAGTTCTATAAAAATAAATGTGAAATTGCTTAGTTGCATTGTGAGGAGGGAGTGAAGGGATTAAAAATGAGAAGTCAATGACAGAGAGGTCCTGCCACGCTGATAGGGATCCAGCACTGACAAAGGGCACGCACACAATTTCTAAGCCCATTAGCAAGCCCCCTCCGGACACCATTGCCATTACAATGGCTCACTTTCATCCACAGGCCCTCCTTCTCACCTTCTTCCTCACACTCATCGCTGCCTAAGTTTCTCTGCAGGCCACTCATAATGCCTAACCTTTGCTCCCAGAAATTTTCACAACATCAACCTTCGTAATATTGGCCCGACTTGCTCGCTGTCACCGCAAGTTTCATTTCGGGGCTCCAACCTTGTGCCCTATTCCTGTCTATAGACTCTGGCCTATACACTCTCACTACAGCGCCTCTCCATATTCATCTCTTATCCAGCACCCACTTGTGCTCTCCCCGGCCTCAACATATCCTCTCCACCCTCCCGCACCCTCAGTAACCTGTTCCCTCCTCCGTCCTATCCACGCCCCGCCCGTCCCTCCTCTTGGAATTTCTTCCCAAACAAGTCGCCCACAGCAGTCGCCCTCGTGTCTGTTACACCCGGCACGCTCCCCACCCTCTCCGAGCCCTCCCAAGCCTCCCGGAGCTTCAGCTCACTCATCGCCCTGGACTCCCCTGCCCCTTCCCAGCCCACCTGCTCTCCTCCGGCAGGCGCTCCTGGCAGTCGCCAAGCTCCACTCCCGCGCGCTCTGGCCCCATCCGGGGCTGCGACATCACCTCCTCTCTGAAGAGAGGCGTCTCTGCCGCTTCGCCCCTCAGGGCTCCCGGAGCCGCCCCCCACCCCCAAGAACATAGGAGAGACCCACGGCGGGTGGGCTCAGGATGATGCACTACACCCGGGTGACCGCAGCGGCAATGAATGCTGCCTCAGCTGCGGTTTCTATTCCGGCCACCCCCACTTCCGGCTCCAAAAACTACAACTCCCAGAAAGCATTGCGAAGGCCGGCCGCTCCCGGCATGCACCGCCCTATCCAATCCGAGGCCCTGCTCGCTCGGACTGCAGGCCCTGGCGGCTTGCTTGTGGGCGTGCAACAGTCTCAGGAGTCCCTAGCTACCGGTGTGGACCTTAACAAACTGCTGTCACATTTCACCCTTCGGACAAAACTCCGTCCTTGGTCTAGACTAGGAAATAACGCTGGTCTTAATTTGGTTAATCCCACTTTAGCCTACACTGTGTTTTGTGTTTTTTTTTAATCCTCGCCGGAGGACATTTTTGCATTCAACATTTTTGCATTCATCTTCAGATAGAGCGGGAGGGAGAAAGGGAGGAAGAGAGAGAGAGAAACATGGATGTGAGAGAGACACCCACATGACCCCACCCGGGGACAAACTGCCCCGGGGACAAACCGAAGTACGTGCCCCTACCCGAACCGAACCAGGGACTCTGGTCCGTAGGCTGCCGCTCTAACAGCTGAGCCGGGGCCAGCCTACACTGGTTTAACATTTGATAGTGGTTCTGGGGGACTTCAAGCATCTTAATGAAGGGCTCACAAACTCAGAAGAGCACAGGTTACTTTGGGGTCACAAAGGAACAGCAAGAGGAAAAGGCTTTGCGGGGAGGTTTCCTAACTGAGTTAGCCAGGAGAAGAATGAGAGAGAAAAGTGGAAAGAGCGGCATAGCACTGCTCTGTAAGGGAGGAATTTAGGTAAACTCCATGAAAAACGACTCTATTAAAAACAAGTTATGACTTTCAGGAATTTTCAAACCTGAGATTATTTTTTGTGATTTAAAAGTGAAATGAAAGAGCCTTTTAATGCAAATTATGATTTACAACTTCCATTTATATAAAAAATACTCTTTGTTCAAACTCTCTCATATTTTCCTAGGAAAGAGTTATACTTTTAAAGAAAGGGGTCATTTTAGTCATTGGGATTTCATTCCCTTCTGTTCCTATAAATGTATGAACTTCGTTTTTTGTGATACAGAATAATCCCAAATGATTTTAACATATATTTACATGAAAGTCAGCTTTACAATTTTTTACTAAAATTGTAGTAAAAGTTCTGGAAAGCAGGATTTTCCTCACATGTCCAAGTCTGGGTTTACATGTGTTTTCTTTAACACACTCAGTTAATAAACATGACAATAACCTACACTAGCCATGTGTCTGTCCAACCCACCCCCAACATATCCCTCTGTTTTCTCTCACCCCAGATAGCCATAGTCTGAATCCCTTGTTTATGATTCCACTGCTTCCTTTTTTATTATTTTTTTTAATATGGGAGTTTGTTTGTTTATTTATTTATTTATTTATTTGTTAATCCTTACCCGAGGATATTTTTCCATTGATTTTTTTAGATGGAGTGGAAGGCAGGGAGGGAGGGAAAAAGAGAGAGAAACATGGATGTGAGAGAGACACACCAATTAGTTGCCTCTTGCACATGCCTTGACCGCGGCCAGGATCAAATCTGCAACCCAGGTACATGCCCTTGACTGGGAATCAAACCTGAGACCCTTCAGTCCTTGGGCCTATGCTCTAACTGCTGAGCCAAACCCTTTCTATATAATTTCTTTGTGTCTATCTATATTCCTAAAAAGTATTGTTTTTAAAATCTGTGTCTTAACTTTATACAAAGGGTATTAAGCTGCATTTATTCTTTGGAGCCTGCTTTTTTTCCGTAATACAACATTGATAAGATTTATTCATACTGTTGTGTGTCACTATAGTTCATTGATTTTGACTGTTGTATAATAATCCATTGTGTGAATACAACAGTTTATTCATGCTGTCTTTCACTGACAGGCATTTGGGTTGTTTCCAGGTTTTTGCTATTGTAAACAGTGCCACTATGAATATTCTTTTACATGTCTCCTCTTGTATATAAGCAAGGGTTTCTCTTGGGTACATACCTTGACGTGGAATTATGAGGTAATAGGGTTATCTGTTCTAGCTTTTGTTTTGAATGAGGGGTTTATAGGTGCACAGTTTTTAAAATAACTCATTAGTTATGAAATCATAGCTAATTATAATGTTATTTAAAATAATGAACTAACCAAGTGAAAACTGGCCATGCATAGAAAATGATGAGAGTATGTCAGGAACCAAGGGTTAAGATTAATCCAATTTTGTGCATCTGGGGTCCAAATGAAAAATATTGTCAAATATGCAAAAACATCTAGCATCAAAATTCAATCAATCAAAAGGCCTTACCTAGCAACTGCTTGATGAATTAATATTTTAAAAGTCAAAAAGCCTGAAGTTTATTTTATCTTGATTAACCTATTTGTTCTCATGATCACCAGGATGCTTTTTTTTATATAAACAGTAGTAGGTCCTAAAGAACTACAGTACTGGCAGAAAGCCAATTTCACTTGAGAATCAATTATTCAATCAGTTATTCAAATAACAAGTTTTTAAAAGCTCATTACAGCCTGGTCGGTGTGGCTCAGTGGTTGAGCATTGACCCATGCACCAAGAGGTTGCTGGTTCAATTCCAGGTCAGGGCACATGCCCAGTGGGGGGCATGCAGTAGGCGGTCAATCGATGTTCTCTCTCATCCATGTTTCTATCTCTCTCTCCTTCACCCTTCCTCTCTCTCTAAAATTCAATAAACAGCAGGATGGGGAGGAGGGAGTCTAGGGAAGGAAAAAGAGAAACATCTGTAACAAAAATAAATTAATAAAAATTGGAAAAAAATAAAAATAAAAATCAATGAAGAAAAAAAAAAAATTAAAGCTCATTACATGCCCTGGCGGGTTTGGCTTAGTGGTTAGAGCGTCAGCCCACAGACCAAAGGGTCATGGGTTTGATTCCCGATCAAGGGCTCATACTTGGGTTGCTGGTTTGATCCTTGGCCCCAGTCAGGGTTATTTGGGAGGCAACCAATCAATGTGTCCCTCTCACATTGATGTTTCTCTCTCTCTCTCTTTTTCTCTCTCTCTCTCTCTCTCCCTCCCTCCCTCCCTCCCTCCCTTCCTCCCTCCCCTTCACTCTTGCTAAAAATCAGTGGAATGATATCCTCAGGTGAGGGTTAACAACAACAACAAAAATGTAGATAGAAAGTCAGAAAAACTTTTCAGATTAAAGGATACAAAAGAGGCAGGACAAAGAAATGCAACATGTGAACCTGGACTGGATCATAGATAGGCAAAAAATATTGTTACAAAGAATAATAATTATTTAGTAGGGTAATTGGAAAAAATTTAACATGGACTATATACATTAGAGAACAGAATTGCATCAATGTTAAATTTCCTGAGTTTGATCATTTTAGCATGGTTATGTAAAAGAATATCCTTAGAGATATATTCTGTAGAGTCTATACTTTCAGATTGTCCAACAACAAATAGTATTAATTATAGCTATCTGTATATAAAAAAGTAAATGTGGCAAAACTAATAATTATTGAATTTTGGTGAAGGGTATATGAGTATTGAACTATTATTACCATTTCTTTCTAGATTTAAAAATAGGAAAGGATTTCTAAAATCCTTTTAAAAAATAGGCAAGTATCTGCCCTGGCTAGGTTGCTCAGTTGGAGCATCTTCCTGAACAACAAAAGGTTGCAGTTTCGATTCCTGATCAGGGCACGTGCCTAGGTTGAGGGTTTGATCCCCAACTGGAGCACAAGGGCACATTCGGGAGGCAATCCCTCAATGTTTCTCTCTCACATCCATGTTTCTCTCTTTCTCTCTAAAATTCAGTAAAACCATAACCTTGGGTGAGGATTACTTTTAAAAGGCAAGAATATTAACATGGTTTGTTTTCTTATGACTGCATTCTAATCAATAAAACCAAAATTTTAGTGTTTCACATGGAAATTTCTTAGTTTATGATTAATTTTGAATTTATTTTAAGTTAATGTCTGTTTTTTCCACAGTTTAGCATCTTTAGAAATTTTTAGCCAATGTTGCCAAATGACCAATTCACTGACTTTACCAAATTTACTGATTTACTAAAGTTCTTTTTTTTCCATTTGTTCTTTGTTTTAATAAAGCTTATAGCAGTTCATACTTGGTGAGTTGATTTTAAAAAGCTTTTGAAGGCCCTGGCTGAGTAGCTCAGTTGGTTAGAGTATTGTTCGGATATGCCAAGGTTGTGGGTTGGGTCCCAGGTTAAGGCACATAAAAGAATCAACCCAATGGCCCTGACTGGTTTGGCTCAGCGGTTAGAGCGTCGTCGGCCTGTGATCCGGATCCGGAGGGGCCCGGGTTTGGTTCCCGCTAAGGCCATGTACCTCAGTTGCAGTTTATCCCTGGCCCTGGTTGGGTCATGTGGGTGGCAACTACTCGATGTATCCCTTTCACATCGATGTTTCTCTCTCTCTCTCTTCCTCTCTTTCCCTCCCGCTCTATCTGAATAAAAAATGGAAAAATGTCCTTGAGTGAGGGTAAAAAAAAAAAAAAAAAAGAATCAACCAATGAATACATAAATAAGGGGAACAGCAAATCAGTATTTCTTTTTCTATCTCTCCCCCTTCCTCTGTGTCTCTCACTCTCTTCCCTTTCCTCCTCCTCTCTTTCTCCCCCTTCCTCTCTTTCTCTAAAATCAATAAATACATTTTAAAAATAATTTTCCTTTATTGATTTTAGAGAGAGAGGAAGGGAGAGAGATAGAAACATCGATGAGAGAAAACCTCAATTGGCTGCCTCCTGCATGCCCCGCACTGGGGATTGGGCCCACAACCCGGGCATATGCCCCGACTGGGAATCAAACCGGTGACCTCCTGGTGTATGGGTCAACGCTCAACCACTAAGCCACACTGGCTGGGCAGATTTTTTTCCAAGTTTTAATTGCCTGGTTTCTATTTTGTCTTTACAGCAACATTTCTACCTGTTTGAAGTATTTAGTATTGGGTTCATTTATTCAGTTATATAGTAAAGTTCATTCCCAGCCACAGGCAATGCATACAACTC